ATAAACTAAATTCTGATTCTGATTGTGAATTAGGTAATGTTGTGAGATAAATGTGGTGTTTGAATCCACTGAGGTCACATAGGACATGAGGGAGGGTCAATGACCTCTGCTCAGGGAGGGATGACCCGCCTGGCATCCCTGATCCGGAGGTATATAAATTAATGTTTGTCTTTCGGTTATTAAAACATGATCATAATCAGTGAAATATTAAAAGTACACTGATTAATCATAATATCCCGCAGTTAGATAGTGATCTTTAATAATGCTACAAAATGGATTAATGCCTGTTATCATAGCATCTCCGTCAACACACTGATAAAGTAAGTTTATTCTGTCAGCTTCCTTTAATTAAAAATTGGAAAAAGAAATTTAAACGTATAACTTGTTTAAACCCTCGTACCTTTTTATTCCCCTTTGATCATAAGAGCTGAATTGTCTAAAAGCAGAGAAGGTATATTAATTTCCGTCAGCAAAGTTTATAATATTTAATTCAACTGAGGTGTAATCTGACTAAGCCTTCTCAAGTGACTACTAAAAAAATAAAAAATACCTTCACTCTGTAGCCAATGTTACCGGATGTGATATGAGCTCCCACCTGATATGGTTGACACAAGGAGACAGATAGGCTCAGAAGAGACTCCCCACACTCACTTTAAGCATTGCAGTAGACCATACAGACACATGTAACTACATTTGTATTGATATTGCTGATATACGCTGAAGGACACATGTATGTTCTAAGCAACATTTATTGGGAATTATAAGATCTTGGCCATCAGCTTACACTTTAACTGTTACTGTACCCACATTATTGACTACCACCTACCTACCACTTATAAAAGTATTAACCACATTTGAGGTGTGACACATTTCAATTTTGTTGTGGCCTCTTGCAATGACATCAACCACTGTGGTTATAGTGTTACAAGATAAACATTACACTGAAACATGAGTTTTTCCATCTAAAAAAATTGAATTTTGATTGTTTCCCAGCTGTTATATTTTTGTCCTTATATAGAATTCAACACATCTTCTATTAGACATCATGTCATGTTTGATCAAGTGCATATAAAGAGTAACATTTTTATAGTTATTCTCCCTGTTATATAAAACCACTAATGAATTATGTATTTTAGTGCGTGAAAAATATCTCCGCCAATTGTTGTCCATAGATTTTAAAACATTTTGTCATGTTTTACTTGAGTTGGACAAAAACACACAATTAAAGTAGGATGTAGGTTTTTGTCAAAGTGGTATTTAAAGTCAGTGAATGTGGCACTTCATGTGGAACAAGGCAACAAAGTGCTCACCAAACAGGTCTTTATTAAGCTGGAAAGGTGAGGAAAGATGTTTGGGGTGGGGGGGGGCACATTTATCACATTCTGAGGCAAGTGATGCATCCTGCCATATCCATTTATTACATTAAAATGAAATCCTTTAATACTAATAAAATGATGACAGAAAGCCAGGTGTGGGGAAAAAAAAAAAAAACTTAAAAAAAAAATAAAATAAAAAAAAGAAACTCAAGGTGACATACTTATTTACTCATGTAAATGGCAAAACAATTTAAATATTCAAAAAATCTAAAAAATGTTTTAAGCTGCTTCATTATCTCTGTAACTTTAGCAATCCAAAAAGTTCGCAGCCATGAGCAGTTCCAGTGCGATCTCCGGAGCGATGGGAAATTCAGGTATTTCTGTGGAGCTGTTGGTGTAACGGACCTTGTAGGTGAAGTACATGCAGACCTTGGACAGGACGTGAGACGGAATCTCCCTGAAGTTCACTTCATTGGTTTCGTTCTCAGCAAACTGACCTGCAGATGGACGGTTAAGGTTGGTGTCACAAGTAGAAATTGAATTAAAACAAAACAGTTGTAAGGAGGCAGCATAGTGCCACCAACTGGACAACCAGTGTTAACTTAATAAACACCAATGATTTAAATATGATCTTAAACTACAGGTGATTTACTCCCCTGCCTTTTTAAATCTCAAGCAATTAAGCAAGCAAAGCACACAATGGAAACTAGGCTGATACATGAGTAGCGATGTATTTTATAATTTTAATAAAACCCTGTTCATGACATATTTAACATTGGGAGACAAGGTAGTCTACGTATTGACAGAGGAGCAGGTCTCAGTTTAAATTTGACAGCTATTTTTAAAGCTTTGTTGGGCCAAAGACAGAACTGCCTGAAACTATCCAGGCAAACTTTTTTTTGTTCGACAGTAACGCCACCAGTGATGTATCTGCATTTTAAAATAAAGTTGTATCCATCTGAGCAGCACTATTCCTTTCCACTCCAATTCTTAGTTCATTGTCTCTTGGAAGAGCAAACCTTGCATGGACTGCCAACATTTGGCAAATCCTAGAACGAACAGAAGCTATAACAAATAGAAAATCCCCCACTTATTTCTGATAGCTCCTAAACATGTGTCCCATTGTTGCACTGTGAATTATTTCAATTCACAGTGGACTTCCTCACCAGAGTGGTATTGAGTGTGCTGGGGAATATAGTTATTGAGCATTGTGGTTTAAAGTAGAGCACCTACAGTGGATCCAAACACACAGCTGTGCCCAACTCTCACCTGGCCCGCTTAACATGGCTTTGATGGTCCCAGATGTCAAGGCATGTTCTCTTTTCACAATAAATTCATGGCCGTCTGAAGAGATCAATTTCACGTACATGGCATCTGGCCCTTCACAGCCACCGTAGGTTCTCTCTTCACCATCTGTGAAGCGACACAAACTGACACTCTCAAACAGGTGTAAGCCAAATGTTTAAATACCACACACACACACATTTGAGCGACTGTATAAACGCCAGAGACTTTTGGAGAACAGCCAGATTTTGCTACTGAGGAGAAACGTCAACAAATGACACTTGAGACAAGTTATGGATGGGCAAACATTTGTGGGAAGGTTACAGGATAATATATAGAGTCAGACTCACCCATCCTGTTCCGAGATTTATGTTAAGCCTGAAAGGGAACAGACACATCTTATTAAGGACACCACGACCCTTGAACACACAATATAAAGTCGCCGAGGTCGGACATCGCCCGTAATGTTGTTATTTAGCGTTAAACAGTCACAAACAACAACAACTGCCCGTTATCTAACAAGAAAGGTCGTTTTTTTAGGCCTTATTTTAGTGAAAATCACCGCACAACGCTCACGTTGAACCAGATCAAACACATTATCTGACAGGGATGTACTACAATATAACGTGTATATCGTTAAAAATAACCGCAGGTGACTATAACTGTAAGTTCTCGGCTCTGATCCAGTTTTAAATTTGGATTAGTGGCCGATGTCTTTCTCTATCCGAAATGTTTCTCGGTGAGTTCGCAGCCGTCGGCGTCAGCTAGCGTCGGCTAACCAGCGGACGACAACGTCTTCATTTTTCCTTTCGTCGACTGTTCAGTGTTTCAGATTCATATCGGGTGAACAGTTCGACACACGACAACACGCAGCGGCATGTAATCCAAACACAACCCTGTTTCTTACCACTCTGTAGAAGAAAGGAGTGGAGACTGCGTTTCAGCTAATGTTAGCCACCAGGCTGTTGATACCCGGAACTAGTTTTTTGGAACACCCGTCCGCGATAAATGTCTTCCGTAGAGTTTTATTTGTAGAGAGAATCGGCCCCCCCTCCCTTTAATTTATTTACTTTACGTCCTGCTCTGTTTGAAACTATTTGAATCCAGTTTAATTTGTGTCCCTCCTCAATTTTCAGAAGACAGAAAACGTTTAATAAAACCATATGTTGTAAGTTAATCAAAAAGTGAAAAACAGGGGCAAAGCAGAGGCTATTTCTGGATAAGGAACATTAACACCTGCGCTACTCAATACAAGTCAGTGTCACTAGATATTAAGTTTAGATAAGAGAGGGGAAATAAGGATATGAATTTTTAATTCCAATAAAGACCTGAGATGACTTGTCAAATTTACACTGGTTTACAGGCCATCAAAGAGGAGATGAGATTCCTCCTGACGCCTATAGGGGGCGCCTGTGTTTCAGGTTACTCTCCCTGACTGGCTGTGATGAGTGAAAGCAGGTGCTGATTGGACATGACAGAGACATTTTGCAGGCCCATAAATCTGGATTCAAGAAAGAATGAGAGAGAGAAGGCATGCACTCTGCACTACCACACACTTTAAAAGCCCAGTCAGTAGAAACCCAGCACTTCAGAATAGTATAGTTTATTTTAATTACTAAAATATGGTAGGACAGTTAGAAGAGTATTCATGTTTTAATAGTGTTATAGCCTTACAGGGTCATCTAAAACACCCACATTTTCTAAAGTAGACCATTGAGCTTGTTGTTTGTATCACCAACCAACCCTTACAGCTCAAGTATCTTCTAACAGGTAGATGGGTGTCAGTCATATAGATCATAGACAGTTGAGAAGCGGGCACATTCTGTTGTCACGGTCAGGTTCAGAATGTGACTTTGCCCTGATCCTTCCTGGACTTCTTTCATGCAGGAAAAGTGATGACTGTTGAAATCCGAGGCTTCCAAATGGACGCAGGGTTATATGAGCTGGGACACTAAGAGTAGACTACTGAGCTTGCATGTAAATTGTGCCGTTTGACCCAGAGGTGGAAAACGGGAAGGAATTATATCATCTTTTTTATACTGTTGTTCATTTACACACACAGATATAAGGGGTTCACAACTGATTCACAGATGGGACAAAGTAGATCATCTCCCCAGACTGCTCCGACCACTCTTGTTTAATTGCCTGTTCTCATTGCTACCTCAGATGTCAATGGTGACTTCTGCAGAGGTGACACCTGACCTGGTATTTATCTTACAGTAATGCCCGGCTTAGCTATGCTGTCAGTTTGTGTTCCAGAAAGTTCTAGTAGCCTCCTCCCTGTGTTGCCTGTTGACTCACACACGCACACTTACACACGCTCTCGCACACAACCAAAAACAATCACTGACCTTCCAGTCCCCCATTACACCATTAGTGCTTATGATCAGAGCAGGCGGGTGGCGGCAGCCGCTTTGATGTATCTCTGATACGACCCACCCTGCTGCAGCTGCTCTCAGCTCTATTTTGGGGAGCCTGCTGTGGGCCCTTAGAACAGGGCTTCCTTAACACACACAATACATGCAAACTCTCTTGTCATGCCAAGTAATATCACCCATCCCTTTAACACACCAACTGTATACTTTCTCAGATCTTGCACAGGTCATTCTGCAGATGGTGGGATGCAGTTAACTTGCTAGAAAAGGCACTTGTCAGTCTTTATGCTTGTTAGTCTAATTAAATCTTGTCTGACATCTTAGACAGTGAAATGTGCCACATTCAGCATGGTTTACATTCTTATAGGTGAGAAAATGTGCGGTTACAATTGGTTCATACATGGTTGACACAATGATTTGACTAGCGTACCTCCTTTCCCACTTTTTAATACCACCAGTTTCAACACCAGAGTCGGTCAAATGTCAATGCATGGGATCATTTATGAACAGTACAATAGCTTAGTTGTAGAGCCCCCCAATGAAACCAGGTCAGAATTTTAGCCATGATAGGGAAAGATGGGGGAGGAATGTCTTTGGGCATTTCTTCTCTGAAAAGGGGCTTGTCACAATGAATTTGAGGGTACTGTCCCTTTTGCCTGCAGCAAGTCGCAGTGCCCTGCAAGTCTCATGTTGGTCCTTATCTCATGAACCTTTGCTGGAGAGGAGCCATGGCATGTCACAAACAATTATTGCATCATTGCATGAAATGTAAAATTATTATATGCAATGTAAATCAGAGTATGTATTTATTTCAATAGTCTTAAAATACAGAATTTTAAGAGTTAAGAGTTGTTTTTTTCTATTTTGTGTAATGGAATCAGTGATTGTTATAATGTGTGATAATGTGTAAGAAGACATATTAGACACTGTCTTTATTGATTTCAAGCTCAGACATGCTAAAGCTTATCAGCTCTCGTTGCTACTAAACCACAACACCACATACAGTAGTATCATTTGGTGACAGTTTGAACACTGACTCACGCAGCACACATCTGCCATGTGCGATCCTTGGATGGACATAACATCTGGCAAATTGTTAAATCATTAAATTCTTCAGGAATCTTATTACACGCTGACGGTTGACATTGGCATCACAAATGTGCTCGACTTAACAAAAAAAGTGCTGTCCGGTAATGTGATATCTTTATTTACCCAAACACAGTGGTAGAGTCTCTTAATCATTTCTTGGATAAATAGATGCACTGGAAGCAGAGCTGTTTACCAAACAGAGAGTTAAAGGGAAAAGGGGCTTTTATGTATTTTATCAAAATCTTTTTGAAAATTACAGGTACAGCAGCAATACACAATGCACTCTGAGTCACTGAAACAACATTATTATAATCATGATGAACAGTGCACCCTGCAATACAATAATGATTCAAAGCCACCAACTTATGCGACCATTAAGACAAAGTGGTTTGCTCATAACCTAGCCAAAAGCAGAGAATCAAACCGAGGAGAAATAACATCTTCCTAAATCATAAAATTATCTAAAAAGTCCTTTAAAACATGTTCCTGCTTTTGATGTTCATTTTCTATACAAAACAATGTCATTGCCCTTACTCCCCACATGATGAAAGCTTCAAATGGCATAACAGACAGATAAGTGGATGTGACAACCATTTACTTTCAATAGCCTGAGGCTAATGCGCTGTGTTGAGGCCTTGCTTGTTTGAACTATAATGACTCACCCAACAGGCCCCTATGATAAAACCTTCACCACAACTCACATGTCATTAGATAAACAGACCATGAAAAGGCATATAAGTGAATTGTGTTTACTTTTTAGCTGTCCATGTGCTATAAAAACGTCACTTGGAAAAGTGTTGCATGTTTGAATTATCATACACCTATAATAGTTTACTTTAGATGACAGAGTGGTAGGTTTATGCTCTTATAACTGAGATTTGTTTGTGTAAATATAACAGATGAAGTGATGCTAAGCTAGCTATGCAAGGCATGGAAAGGGGATCTGCTTAATACTGATGTCTTAGCAACAGTTTTTAAAAACGCTGGGCACTGATATCCCCTCACTGCTTACAAGCCTTAATCCAATTTTAGAAGCACAACCAAGTTGTTTTTCAGTCAGAAGGTGGAGGCTTGGTCTCAGAGAGGGAAGTTAAATATACACATGAGAAACTCTTGCTTTCATCTTAGTGGGTATGTGCCAGACTTGAGATGCCGATACTGTATGTTCAAGCCAAAAGACACACAGCAGAAAAGGAAATATAATTCTTGATATAGTTGATTTATTCTTCATAAACCAATCAGCATTAATTTACCAAATTTACCACCTATTTAGAATTTATAGGCAGTACAATATATGGTTCAGTCCACAGTAAGTAAATAGAAGTATATATATATATATGAGTATATATATATATATTTTTTATTATAATGCCTCTAATCAAGCATCCATAACTGGTGTAAAAAGAGTTAATAAGTGCTTAAAGATCCAGTGTGTAACATTTAGGAGGCTCTATTGCCAAAGATGGGATATACTATTCATAGGTATGTTTTCATTAGTGTATAATTACCTGAAAATAAGAAATGTGTTTTTTGTTACCTTAGAATGAGCCGTTTATATCTACAGACGGCGCGGGTCCACCATGTTGAACTGCCATGTTTTTACGGTAGCCCAGAACAGACAAACCTAACTCTGGCTGTAGATAGGGCCCTTCATGAGTTCATGGTAGTTTCTCCTACACACAGCCAGTGTTTGGTTTCTCCGTTCTGTGCTAAGAAACTTAGTTAAGAATTTAAATTTCCTGCTAGCTTACTCAGCCCCACAGAAAAACTAAATTCACACTCTGAAACAGTGTGAGATGAGAGAAGTCTCTGTAGGTTTTGCAGTGTCTGCTGGCGTGAGGGCAGAGGGCACAGCCAGTGCATGACACAGAGTCGCAGATTTCAGGCAGGTGCCGCTGCTGCTGTAACACTACACTAATCCAAGGCTGATCAGCAGTGGAAACAGTACAAACTGACCCCAGACAAACGGGGGCACCTGCCTGCACTCGCACTGCTAATGTGAGACCCCGACGAAGATACTTTGATTTCATGCCTGCTCTTTTCCCTCCGGATCTCATTATGAGGAGGTCACCATGAGGCCATCTTTGCTGGGAGGCTATGCACAGATGAGGTGATGAACCTCGAAGATACATAAAAGTGAACATGAGACTGGAATTTAAAACATTTTTATAAGACAAGAAATCATTGCATCCATCAATTGAAATCCATCTGTAGATTTCATGCCACTGTACCTGTAGATGTTCCATTAATGTTTGTTGTATAGTCTATGCTGCGCTGTATTGTTTGTATTGTGTTTTATTATACCTTTAGCTGTAGCATAGATTTTGAAAGTATGCAACCAAAATATCCCACCCCCTCCCTTCAGGCCTCTCTCCAAACCCACTCCCCCAACACACATGAACATGGAGTGCGGAGCAAAGCGCATTGTTGTCATTGCTAACCATATCCAACTACCTCATGTCTCATTTATACATAGTCTATGTACTACACAGTTCAGGAAAATAACAAATTCCCCCCCAAGAACTATTGGCTAGTCTTTTTCTGCCAATCTTGTGCGACTAGCTTAGCAATATCTGCCTGATTTGCCAGCTTTTGGAAGACTTCGCACAATGAGTGCCAGGTCAGAGTGTGCGGATATAGGTAGATAGGTAGGTCAGCCAGCCAGTCATTTAATTCGGTCCGAATGGGCTTTTTACAAGCCTGTCAGAGATACCAGATTTTTTTTTCTTTTTTCCCTGAAGGATTTGATTGCTGTCAAGATGTAAAGTTAATTTCAACCAATCTAACAAAAACATGTTCTGGAATACATTACCTACCCTAGATATAATATACTGTAATGAGTCATTTATTTGACATAATGAAGAAAAATCAACATATCACATCACAACACCTGGAAGGTGTGGAAAGGTATGATCAATGGGATGATGCATATTAGTGTAAGATTATCAAAAATATCAGAAAAAAGATAAATGTAGTTTAACAAGGCATAACATCTTTATTGTTATACACATAACTTCATCTCCAAAGACTTTGCACAAATCAGTGGGGTAACATGAACCTTGAGATATCAAAAGTCTCCCGCAGTTCCTCGTTATATCCTTAAATACTCAAACAAGTACATCTGCCTTTCACATCCCCAAATGGTACATACAGTACATCCAATTAGAAATAAAGTATTTTTTTGTCAAACATTATCATATGTGCATTACATTACCAATTACAAACAAGTTATATTCATTGTCAAAATACAGGTGTGCAAATTGTTAGAAAAATACCAACTCATACCAGATTCTGGATTGTGCTCTGTAAAAATCCTTACAAATAGTATATAATAATCTATATATAAATGACTCCAACATGCAATGTTGCATTTCAAAAAATATCCCATAAACAGGCTGTTCTGTTAAACCCTCTGAAACTCTAGTCTTCACCATGCTCACGTGAAGACAGTTAAAACAAGAAAAAGAGGGTGTAGCAAAGAAAGGGAGAAACATGTTATTTAATGCATCAAATTTTTTAATACAACAATCTTTTTGAATTATTTAGTTTCTTGGTCTGCTTGACTAGATTGTAATAGTTAGTTTCCTATAGTTATGTGGACAGTTTGCAAACATCTGACTGGCTGAAGCATTCTCCAAATGTAATATGCTGCTCATCGTGTAACAGACAGTATAGTCAAGTTGAACTTCAAAACTGAATTGCAGCGAAGAAAACCTAGCCATATTAAAGCCCTTTTTATGATGACCAATGTCCACAAACACATCAGTTGTACAATGAATAAATAATTAATCTTGGTAGTGATGACAGTAAATGTCAACCATATAAATAACCACTTTTTTTTTTTTTATCAAAGAAACTCATGCCATACCTGCAACAAAGACTACAAACAGCTATGATGAGGCAAGTTAAATGCATGATTCAGGTGATGACAACAGTCAAAGTATCCCCCACACCACAAAGTTAAGACAAGGATGGCATCTTTTTCCCTCCCTCCCTCCCCTTCCTCATCTTTTTTCTGAGGTAAACAGTAGTACTGTTAAAGACTTTTAAAGGCATCTCCTTCTCCCTGCTGCCACATTCCCCATGGCCTCAACCTGAATAAATTCAACTTCCACTGTCCACAAGACTGTCTTCATCCAGTCTCAAAAGCACGCAAGCACTGCTGGGCCTACAGAAGCAGCTGCGTGAACTGCGTCTTTGCATTTTACTCTGAAACATTGAAAGCAAATACTAGATTGAAGGAATTCAAACAAAAGGCGCGCACAATGAAATCATTTTCCTTCTGATTTAATAAATAACATAAGACATTTGTTACTTCACTCTCACAGAGCTAAGTAGCTTTTAAATTGTGAACCCTATTCCTAAACTCAGTGCCGGCTGTTAATCGACACACTCTCTCAAAACCAGTCTTTTGTAATTATGAGAGTCTAAGAAAATAAATGGAACAGGATTTTTATAATGGTACAAC